TTTATATTTTAGAAATTAGTAGTTTATTTCATTGTATTGAAATTAAGTGCTCGGAAAACCCCTCCGTACATTGCTTTTGTCTAACGATTTTTAAAACAGGTACCTATTTTGAAAGGTCTGCTCATGAAGGCTAAATTAACAATAACTTACATATAGTTAAGTATAATACACACATATGTAGAGCAGGTATGTAGATTTTCTTCTTTCTGTCTTAATATCTAAACCTTTTATAAGCTGCCAACGGCGCTGGGTAAATCCCAAAAAGTACTTATATGTAATTTTCTTGAGTTTACAGTTCAACTCATGACCTTCATATTAAATAAAATGTGTCGCAAAACTGAGATATTAGAGAGTAGCATTTAAGCCGATTTGGTCGCAGCTTATCTATTACCACATGAAAAGGATTTTTAGCCCTTTTGATACTACACTCTCTACAAAGTCCATATTATACATATATTATATTTTGTTATAAGTTCAATATGATGGCTGAGAAAATTTACCTATCCACTGATTATCACCAAATATTAGAAGAAATATATGTATATAGAAATCTATATCTATCTCGATTAGTTTTAGGTGATGAATAAAACTGTACTCTGTTGCAACATTTTGCGGAAGTATAAAAATGTTACGGAAGAATTGAACATTCATTATTCGATTATTATTTGGTATCTTATTAACTTATGTTATTGATCATAGATTTATTTAGTGTCAATATTATTATTTTCTCCGAAATGTTAACTTTAATAAAAAGAAGCTATTTAACTCAAACATAATATATGTGATATAAACTGAACCAAAGGGGTTAAATTTAATATGGGGGGTATACGAGGTTGCTGTTGTACGAAAGGAGCGGAAATCAGTATATTAGAGTTATAAAGTTTAAACAAAGGGCTAGACAAATTTCGTTTATATGCAGCTATGAACTACATTATTTTTAAGAAAAACTGTCCATTTAATTTCATTAAATTATAAAATTAACGAAATAAATTATACCATAAGTAGTACATGTATGCTGGGGAAATTTCTGGATCGATTACACACATTTTCGGCATTAAACTGTTGTATATCTAATATTTTACGTTTATGTAAAGCCAAACGGAAGTTTGAATTTTTTACGGAAAGTATGTTGGAGCTAGGGTCAATATATACCCGATAATGGGTTCTAGGGCGGAACCAAGAATTTTATACTCTTGTAATTCGCAAGAATCAAAGGCCAGGAAATTCCTTCAGGTGTGGCAAAACCTTATATTAAAAAATGTTGAGAAGGAATTAAACATCCATTATTGAATGAAATCGTGATTAAATTACAATCAAATTTGGTATCTTCTTGACATATATTAAAGGTCATAAACTTAGTCTCAGTTTTATTGCTATATTTTAATTCGCGTTAGCGAAAATTATATTAAAGAATAACAAAAAACATCTTGAAGTGAGATATACATAATTATGAATGTGTTATTAACTCGACCAAAGTGGCTAAATTTTATATTATAAGCTTGTGTGGAAAACGTCAACCAGAGAATCGGAATTCATTATATGAAGGTGTGAGGTTTAGATCAAGGTATATACTATTTTCATTCTAATTCAGCGTCAAACCACATAATTTTTAAGAAAACTTATTCACTTAAGTACATTAAAATATTACATTTTGATCAATCAGAACGGTTTAAAGCCAAGAGGAAAGACGGAAATCATATATATGTATATACATTGGGGATAGAGAAAGTTATTAATTTTTACATTGTTTAGCTATACTCGAGCATAGAGAAGATATTTTGAAGCAATTTTATATATAAAAAAAATTTTATTACTCACTGACCGACATACGAGAAGTATTATAAGTAGTATATAAAAATAGAAGGTAGCATTAACTCGATTTTATCAACTTTTGCCGATACTACATACTACTTACATGCCACAGACTAATAAAATACTCCCACTGTTTCATTAAGGTACCTCACATACCATCACCAATCGTATGGAGTAAAGCCAGACGAATGTTTAAAAATCCTGATATTAGTTACATGGGGGCCAGGTAAAATTTTCACTCGATTTCATACATTTTCGGCACAGAAATACCTTGTTATAAGTAAAATACGCTCTCTCATTTTCATTGAGATAACTCACATATTGGCCGATATATGCGGTATAAAGTCACCCGGAAGTTCAAAAATCTTTATATTAGGTATATGAGGGTTATAGGAAGTATTGATTCGATCGAACCCATTTTTGGACACAAACATACTATTATTGAGAGTTTTATTTATTTAATTTATTACATGAATTTCAATTAAATGTCTTACACATTGACCGATATTTTCGGTAAAAAGGTATAGGCACTGGGGTCTACAAATTCAGTACTCGAATATTTTTGGTTCGATTTAGACAATTTTTGGTCACAAGGTGGCATACTTCAAACGCATTATTCACGCAAAGTTTTACCTCGATACAATCATTTTTGTTTGATTTGCATATTGGAAAGTGAAAAACTTAGATGGAATTTAAAATGGTGTTATATGGGAAATAGGCGTGGTTGTAATCCGATTTCGCCCATTTTCGTACTATAATATAGAAATATGAGAATAATATTATGTACCGAATTTGGTTGAAATCGGTTAAGCAGATCCTAAGATATGGGTTTTCACCTAAAAGTGGGCGGTGCCATGCCATTTTGAACATGGTTTCTAAAATTATCTCATACTATCCCAGAGATAAAAATTTAATGTCTCTGGCTTGTTTAGTGCTTGATTTATCGCGCTTTTAGTAGTTTTTAACATTACCGTTATATGGGAGTGAGCGGGGTTGCCACCCGATTACACCCATTTTCACACCGTCAATAGAAATGCTAAAAACATTTGTTCTCAGTGAATTTTGGTTTAGCAGTTTAGGAGATATGCACATTAAACCAATTAGGGGCGGAGCCATGCCCACTTTAAAAAAAAAATTTAACCACAGATGCCCCTCCCTAATGTGATCCTGTGTGCCAAATACCAGCCTTTTATCTTATTGTGGGGCTTAGTTATGACAATTTACTTGTTTTTGATTAATTCCGTTTTGTGGGCGTGGCAGTGATCCGATTACAACCGTCTTACGGTATCAAAAAACATGTGTACCAAGTTTCATAAGATATCTCAATTTTTACTCAAGTTACAGCTGGCAAAGACGGTCGGACGGACGGACGGACGGACAGACAGTCACCCGGATTTCAACTCGTCTCTTCATCCTGATCATTTATATATATCTAACCCTATATCTAACTCAATTATTGTAGTTTTACCCGTTAGTTGAATGAAACTATTATACTCCGTAGCAACATGTTGCGAGAGTATAAAAATGGATGATAAACGTAGCGCAGCGTCTTAAGCCCTGCCATGAGATGGAAAAGTATGGTCAGTATGGATATGGTAGTATAGAAATCTCGATATCACACGATTTTAAATAACTGTTGATCGTTCGCGGTATTTGCCGAAACTAATGCGCATTGGTGCATCATAACCACCTCAATACGTCCCTACCGGACTTTGGTTAGGATTGTACTACTTTACCTCCGTTCCATACAAAACTGTTTGTGGGCTACGAATATCCAAAAAATGGTCTAACAATGTCTAATTTATGAATTTAGTTTCCTTTTTTTCATAAAATGACACTGATTTTCAATAAATACTTTTAGCAGTGTGATATACCTATTTGTTCTAAAATGAGCATTAAGTAATTTCGCGATTTTTGTCCGACATTTTCGACCGATGTATGAAAAAGGTGCAACATAACATGGCACTAAATGTTATATATCTTTCTAACAATATAAGGACTTTAGCAGTATTTCTAATTTCAGTTAATTATATCTCACTCAAATGTTTTCTAAAATAAGAAAATATCTCGATAAGTGCCAAAAAGTAACAGTTATTAAATATGAAAGCAAAACTCAGCACAACCGTTATAACAAGAAAGGAAGACCTGCGTTCAGGTGTAACCGAACATTTTATAGTCTTGCAACTTCCAAGAATCAAAGCCTGTTAATTCCTACAGCTCCTGGCAAATTTCGTATTAAAAAATGTTGCAAAAGAATTAAACATCCATTGTGCGATGAAATAGTGAATAAATTACAATCAAATTTGGTATATTTTTGACCTTTATTGAAGGCCATAAAGTAAGAATTAATTTTACTGGTATATTTGAGTTCGATTCAGCTAAAATTATATTAAAAACACCTTCAAATGAGATATATTTATTTAATTTATATTGAGTTGATGTGGAAAACGTTAACCAGAGGATCAGGATTCCTTATATTAGGGAATAATGGTTTTATCACCTTACACAATATGTACATATCATTACCACATAAAGTATAATTTATATACTTTCATGCACTTCCAAGATACCACACGAGAAATGGAAAATTTTTAAGATAGATTCTACTTTGTTTTTAAACTGTTTAAATTATAGATAGTAACTTCACAAATGAATGGAGGAAATTAAAATTATACTTGATTTATTTTCTTGCATTTGGATAGCTTTTGAAATCGGAAAACAAAACTAATTTTTATTTTTAAGTACGCCTTATCATTTTTCCACACCAGAGCTTTGTATATTATTATCTATAATTATCCAAGTTATTCAATCACCTTATCATTTTTCCACACCAGAGCTTTGAATTTACTGAGCTTTTCCTTTAGCCACGAAGCTTTAAGCCCTTTCAACTTTTTGAAGAATAAATTAACTTAAATATTTTCCCGCCATTTAGCTGGTTTATGCATACTCACCAATATATATTTTATCTAATAAAGACTGTACATGCGCAATATGGGATACAATCCACCATGCGACAGTTTCGTATATGTATACATAGGTACACCATACTTAGGTAAACACGAATTTGTGTCAAAAGGCAATTGTTATATACTTCATAACTATGACGTCACAATACAGTCCAAACATTCTGTGGATTGTTGACTAAGGTATTACGACGACGCCACTTTAACACTCACATGACCAGACGAACGCGAGCAGTTGACAAGATTATATGTTGGTGAATGGTGAGGAGTACGCTTTTAGGCGCTAAGGCATTCGACTGTACAGAAAGTACAATAAATAAAAAAATGTTGACAGCGGATGCAAAAAAATATTTGCCAAGCGTTATTAATCATGTTGAAAGAGCCCAAATGTGCCAGCTCCTAAACGGTTAACTTAAGCGCAGTGTAACAAAATGCCTAACAATGGGTAACGCGTAGCAGAATTAAGTAAACAAATGTTGAAGTGAATATATGCAAATGTGATAAGCGATTGCTTTGCAACAAAATTAAAAAGAAACAATATACACACTTATTCGTTCGAATATGAACGTTTTGTGTAGAAATGTATATGCAAATGCTTGAAGTGCTACAGTTAGAGCGATTTTGAAAGCTGCTATTATTTCGAAATACGACCAATGAAAATAATCGAGTAATCAACATATTGTTGTTTATGGTCAATTACAAAGTTGAATTGATATCCTCATACTTATGTGTTTGTTTTAGTTTAAATTGAGCTATTGGTGAAACTACAATACTCGTACGAAGGTCCTTGGTATATGTATATAGGTATTGCTATACCTGCCAACCACCACTTAACGGGTGTACACACAAATCATCTAGAAATATTATTAATAATTAGTGTAAACTCTCTCCAAGCAACTGAATCAAGAATGTAGTAAACTGATGGCTAACAATTTCTCTTCAAAACTGTGTAGTGTTGTCTGTAAATTCATATAAATAGTGTGGAACGAGCCACAAGTCTCAGGTTTAGACAAAGTTAAAAAGTCAAAAGTGTTTCCATAAAAGGTTTTAAGGTTTTCTCACACAAAATCATAACTGCTGTCAGTTATTATAGTATTTAACGAGTATATAATACTTAAACGTCCGTTCTCTTCACATAAACTCTCATCTAAGTATTTTGCATATCTTGCGAAGAAATTAATTTAAATTTCACTAAATATACTTATATATGATAATAAACATACGAGTATATGGGTATATATTAATATTTGCTGTATACTAGTTTAATAAAAGTAATCAAATATTAGTTTCTTATCCCTTATTGAAGGAAATTCAAATTTATGAACTTTAAGAAATTACTTAACAAGAAAAAACTATAACTTCGGTTGCACCGAAGCTCTAATAATACCTTTCACAAATAGAAAAGTTTCCATACCAATTTCATGAAAATTTTTTCGAACGAAAAACTTTTTTTACAAGAACTTGATTCTGATCGTTTAGTTTGTACGGCAGATATATGCTATGGTCGCCCGTACAAGAACTTGATTCCTTGACAGCTTTATGCTATACTGGTCTGATATCGGGGGTTCAGACAAATGAGCAGCTTCTTGGAGAGAGTGGGATGTGTGCGAAATTTCCGAGCGATGTCTTAAAACTGAGGGACTACTTCGCGTATGTACAGATAGACGGACAGAGCTACAGACCGATAAATATGGCTAAATCGACTCAGCTCTTCAGGGGTCTCCGACGATACTGTCTGGGTGTTACAAACTTCGGTACAAACTTAGTATACTTAAGGGTATAAAAATTTATGTAGAAAATGCCATTACTTATCATATAAAATGTATCATACATTTAAAATGTCGCCAATTCAGTAGACCATGATTCGCTCACTTTATTGCCACTACTCTGTCTGTCTGTCTTGTCGGCTATATTAAAAACCAATAACCAAATTGAAGATAAAATAATTTTGCTTTGGGTGTGTACTCAATTAAATTGAATTATGCTGCCTAAATATCAGTAAAGTGCCTGCCAACAAATCAACCTACGGGTATGTTTTATAGCATTTATATGTAAATACAGGCGGACAAAGAACCAACACAAAAAAGTGAAAGCGAATAAATTGAAAAATACACAAAAGCTTCAATAACTTTGCTGCAAAAGCTGTCTAAACCAAATTTGAATTGTATTCATACAAATCTTCATTAAAAAAAATAACACACCAATAAATTGCCTTCTATTTATACTCGCGCAACATGTTGCACAGTGTATAATACTTTTGTTCACCTAACTATTGTTTGCAACACCGGAAACTAATCAAGATGGATATATAATATAATTATCTACTCGTGTATATATAATTAATTGGGATGTCAAGACCAGTTGAATACCGGTTGACTGCATGTCCATCTGTCCATGCAAGGGATGACTTGAGGTAGCTTTGATAAATTTGATACACCTTGATATTCCTTGGTACTCTAACGTGGTTGGAATTGCAGATGGGTGGAATTGAATTTTTGCCACGCCCACAAAATGTCGTTTAGCGAAAAATTATAAAATACTAAGCCACAGAATAAATCACAAAACTGTAATTTGGCACATTTTTTTAAACATAGGTGGTCCCACCGCCTAATATCTAAGTTTAATTTACAAAACAACTAGAGCTATATCAATCAAACATTTTGAGGACAAGTAATTCTAGCACGTCCGCATACAGTGTGATTGTGTAAATCTTACAGTAAAGACGAAACAAAGCGTTGCACAGGAATTCGTGTATTACCCACTTGTAGATGAAATCATATACTTGTAGTACCTCAGGAACTATGTAGTCCACCAATTTCAAGTTTGGTACATCATATAATCAGGATATTTTTATGTCGTAGTGTGAAAATGAGCGAAATCGGATTTCAAATACATATAGTTCTTGATCCTTTCGCTTTACAGTAAATAAATCCAGAACCAATCAAGAAATCGTAACAATACGCTGCACGAATAGTGTCTAAGCCATATCGTTCATATATAGTTGACAACCGTCTATTTCAAGGCTACTGATACTAACTATGGAAACCTTAGAGTCTATGGCTGATTTTTTTCTCGAAAATAGCTGTTACTCTGGGAGTCTGTCCGTCATTTTCTCTCCTGGAAGGTTCTCATATAACCGCCATACAAACTGCACGATCAAAATCATGTCCTTGTATGGAAAACTTTTTTATTTAACAAGATATCTTCACGAAATTTGGTATAGATTATTGTCGAAAGCAACGGTACAATAGTTCTTGTATGGAAACCATTGTATTTGTGAAGAGTAATATATGTTTGCTTGTTTAAGTAATATAAAGTTTTGCCAACACCCAGTTTTGATTCTTTCAAATTGTGAGAGTATAAAATGTTAAGTTACAACCGAACTTAGCCCTTCCTTACTTATTTTTATTGTAATAGGCAAATACCAGTACATATGTTATACTTTCGCACACATTTGTGCACACGGACATGTGCACTAAACTAGGTCGACCATGCTATTCAAGTATAAACAAAGTGCCAAACACGCTGTGCGAGTAATATAGTGCAAGAAAAATACAATAGAAATTCTCCAATGAATGGCACCGAAATTGATAAGGGAAACCTACACGCACAACGCGCACACATGTGTACTAGTTGCCTACGTATGTAAACGTGGGTACTTGTTCTGACACACTTTTAAGTTCATCAAGTCAGTATGCAAACACTGCAAAGCACACTTGTATTATCGCACTCCTCAAGTATGCTGTCGACATTCAGTTCTAAGATAGTTTAGGCATTGCAACGAAAGTCATGAGAAGCAATATACATGTTTAAAAGTGGTTTCCTATATTACTTCACATATTGCAATATAAAAATGTGCATATAATAATTAATTTCATACATTTTCGCAAGCTGCCCACTTATATCTTACTAAGTTTACATTATTGCGTCCAAGATAAATATATAGTTTTGAATCAGTCAAAAATTAACAGCAACAGTTGAGTCAAATAGTTTAAGATATCATCTGTTCTTCATTGAATAGCTTGCTAAACTTCTTTGCTTCCCCTGTTTCTTAGATGTGTGTTTTTAGCCGTCGTTGCTTTTCGGATCCCCTCATTGGATCACGTTAGAGGTGAATTTATGTAATTCATAAATTACTCATCTAGTGCGAATAATTTCCATTCTTTTGGCACCAGAAAATTTTTTAGATAATTTGCTTATTTTAATCGGTTGATACTACAGAATATTTATTTAACTAGAGCGCGTCAGCGTTTTGGGGTCAAAAAGTCAATAGTTTAAGGTCGCCGTGTGAGTTGGTGACACAGTTAAGAAGTCAATAAATATTAAACTACAAAAGAAATTTAAATGGAGCAATAAAATTAAAGAAATTTACTCTTCTTCCAGCGAAAATAACGGCTTTCTTAAGGATTAGGGTAATTAAGCATTTTGGAAAATTTTTAAATCATATTATTGGGTAGAATGGGTAATACTTAAGTATTTTTTAAAAACATATTTGTACATAATTTAATAATAGTAAGTCAATTTAAACAACGAACTCTACAACTCACATCTTATATCAGTAAAAAAAAAACACAAAAGAAGAAGCATAAAAGCAACTATCGCATATTGTTCATATGTTTCTTTATAAAAATCAAACAGCAGAGCAAGATTCCGATATCAAAAAAGGACCGTACAACGTCCTGTAACTATTAGAAGATACTTGAATAACAAAACAATAAACTAGGCTTCTCTGCAGGCAATCATGTTGTGCTTCAATTTGAAACTAGCCACCATCTTTCAATCATATCGCCAGGAGAACGTACGTGACCGCAGTCAAAGTTTATGTGCGCCACCGACCTCACATCGAGTCCCTCCACACAGGGACATCGGAGCTTTACGTGTGCTTCAGCGGCGGGCATCGAGCGTTATGTAAGTGCTTTGCATAAGTATGTATGTAGCATATATAAGCGTCATATGTAAGTTTATTTAAAATATGTGTTCGTTCGTCCTCTTAAGTGAAGCTGGTTAAAGTGCACTTCTCTCTCAACTACAACCGCAATATTGAAAACATTGAACTATAAAGCAAAGTAATTTACCAGTTGCCACTTGGTCGTTTTGACATCAGTTACCAACATATCATAACAGCATAGTATTTGTGTGTACATAGTATATTAGTTTTAATGAAAATGCAATGGGCGCACGAATCCACATCAATCCAAAATGCATTTTTCTTGAACATTTCTACAAATTGTACATAAATCAATGATATATAGTTAAATATATGTATTTAATAATAATATATTAAAATAATAGTTAAATATCAGCAATGTCAACTGAATATAGCATAATATAGCTAATGCTTTAATTAGCAGATGAATGGAAGAGTCTGGAACTATCATACAACGAATAACTGAAACTTTATAGCCCAGTTTATTGATTTCAACTAAGTTGATCCCAAACAAATAAGAAAGAACTAAGTTCGGGTCTAACCGAACATTTTAAGCTCTAGCAAGGTTCAAAGCCTGTTAAATACCTTCAGTTGTTGGCAATATTAGAAAAGGGAGGGGACTGAGTTTGGGTGTAACCGAACATTTCATTATATTAGGTACATGAGGCTTAGACCAAGGTATAGACCAATTCCATTCTAATTCAGCGCTAAACCACATAATTTTGTAGAATACTTTTCCATTTAATTTCATAAAAATACCATATTTTGACTGACCTGAACGACGAAAGAAAATGGATTGGGTATTTTAAAAATAACTTTTGGGTATTTTGCATTTCGATATTATTTTTACGTGCTCGGTTCCTGAGCATATACATCCCTAAATAAGTGTATTAACATTATAAAATTTTTAAAACATCATATGCAAGTAACATAAAAAAATATCTGATTAAATTAACAAAAAAAAACTTTTGTTGCACGTTATTCAAAAGTTTTTGCGTCGTTCCTTGAAATTGTGTTTCGCACTGCTTTTGTTAGCTATTTCTAGCGGGTTTATTTCTGGCATCCCGCCTTTTTTATATCAGCTGTTCAAAATTCCCTAATATTAATGATCAGGGAAAGAGAATGACACAAAAATTTTCGAAAATGAGAGAGTATGTCATCCTTGGCCTCGACTCAACTGTTCGTCTTTCGTTTTTTGTGTTCGTCCGTCTTTTCAATCTGTGTCCTCGTTAAGTTTGGTCAAAGATCTAATAAAAAGGCATAGCCGCAACGTGAGAATCTTTTACCCAAACGTTCCACTTGCACTTGTATACTGGAATATAAAAGAATCAGATGGAATAAAAAATTGTGTTATATGAAACTAGGCGTGGTTGTAGTCCGATATCCTATATTTTCACACTTTAATATAGGAATAATTAAACAATGTTATATACCGAATTTGGTTAAAATCGGTCGAGCAGGTCCCGAGATATATGTTTTAACCCAAAATTGGGTGGTGCCACGCCCATTGTCACATTTTGATACCAGCTCCTATAAAGCTCTATTGTGCCATTCTGGATGCAAAATTTTATGTCTCTCACGCATTTAGTTATTGATTTAAAGCACTTTTAGTAGTTTTTAACAAAACTGCTATATAGGAAGTAGGCGGGGTTATCATCCAATTTCACCTATTTTTACACTATCGTAAGAAGGTATTTGTCCTGTGCTAATTTGGGTGATATAGCTATATACATTAACATGTTGCTGCAGAGTATAATAGTTTTGCATCACCTCAAACGAATCTAAATATAGGGTTATCTATACATAAATAATCAGGATGACTAGACGAGTTGAATTCCGAGTGACTGTATGTCTGTCCAGGAACTTTCTAGAGGATGAGGCTTTTTCGAACGTGCTATTAAACCAACAGAAGGTTCTAAGAGTTTAATCCATCTAGTTAATGGAAAAGAACAATGGAAATCAATTTCATAAGTTGTTCAGTTGACCCATTGACCAAGCCATCACACGTGTTTATATTATATTTACTGTAATCATATATTTGGCGGTGGATTTCAGTGTTAATTCATAGGGTAGTCCTTGCCTTTCAGAGGTTTTGAAATTTTTAACTCTTTCCAAAATATTCTCATTATCACCTATACTAATTCCTCTCACTGAGTCTTTAGCAGTTGAATGGATAACCCCGGTTGGGATTCGACTGAATCTTCGTGAACTTCTTCGTTAGTAACAACGCGAGTTTAAATTACTGATATATCATCGTTTGTCATAGTACCGGAAGCCATACAGTTTTATGCTATAGCAAAAATCTAAAAATATTTGAATACCTCCCACAAAGGGGAACCAACTAAAATGCTGTAGGAATCTTTGGGATTAGAAGAAAATATCCACCTACCTAATCGGTATGCCACCGAAGGGGTGTCTATTTTGAACATTTATTTTAATCTGGCATCAACAGAGCCTGATAAACGGCCTCATAAAGTCCAAAATGAATTTCTGAAAAATTTGCCATATAATTGGAAGTTGTTTACATTATGTTTGCTAAATAAAATCCTGAAAGAAGAGACTCCACCGGCTGACTGGTTCTCCACTCTACTAGCATTAATTCACAAGAAAGGAGACAAACTTGATCATCAGAACTATCTCTGTTGCTCTCGTGTACCACCTGTCAAAATTACTCTCTGGCCTGATCAATAACCGCCTTACTAAAAGGATAGAAGATAACAAGATCCTGAGTCTCAATCGGAATTCAGAGCATTTCGGGGATGTCTGCATAATTTATTTACGTTACAAGCTGCTCTTAACTGTCGTAACGCTTTAGTATCTGCTTTTCGTGGACTTTAGGAGAGCGTTTGAATCAATGAATCATCGGCTACTCTGGGAAAAATTATTCATGGCTGGAAGCAGCGCTAAACTTATCCGGCTTCAGAGGAATATTTACAACTCTGCATATTTTAAACTAAGAATAAATTCAAACTTATCAGAATTTTAATATCAACGAAGGAGTGCTTCAGGGAGAACTAATCAGCCCATTACTATTCCTGATCTTCATTGCCGTCTTGGAGCCGTTCCTGACAGAAAATAAGTGTGAAGGTACGAACATCGACGGGTTGATGGATATTCCTCTGCTGTTATACGCCCATGATTTTGCTGGCCTCGTCAGCTGTTGACCAAATTGAGGATCTTAAACAGTATTGTGCCAAAAATCAGTTACAAGTCAACATCACAAAAGCCAAGGTTCTCGTCTGTAGACGTGGTGGTAAACTACCTGGTAACTCGCACTTTTTTTCGGTGGAAAGGAACTGGAAATCCCTAATACATATGATTACCTAGGTCTTAAAATTTCCTCGGCACGATTCAGTCGGACGACACGGACTGACCCGGCAATACAAAAAACAAAAATGGCAATTAATGCTGCTCAATTCACTCTTATAAGGTCAAAATCTGATTCATTCGAATGTATCGCTAAGCTATTCGACAGCACTATTGCAGCCATTTTACTTTATGCTGCTCCAATCGAGGCATTGAAATACTTGGAGCTGGTAGAGCAAGTCTAGACTGACTTTTTTAAGAGGATATTTGGACTACCAAGAAACACAGAAGGTGTTCTAATCAGGATTGAACTCGGTAAATTACCATTCGCGCTGCAAATTGTTAAGGCAACTTGGCAGTGGATTATAAATATTGTAGAAATGGATAATAGTCGATATCCGTTAATTGCGCTCAAAAGAGCTGATCACCCCAGAACTCATCACAGCACTGGAAAGTCCCGACCTGGAAATATGGAAAACCTTTATGCACTATTTCTTGAAGAAATACGAAGAGATGCAACAAGACCTGGATAGAGTTTCAAACGCTTATTGCATTCAACTAAGAGTCCAAAGACCTCTATAAGGATCAAGATCTAAGTTTCTGATTAGAAGAATTCATTTCATGTGGTCGTGCTGGTAATTAATCCTCAAACGGAAATATCAAATAGATATGACATTCATTCAATTAAATACTTTTTTTATTTTATACGATACTGCTGCCGACTCAGAGCCTTTTGCCTGTGCGAATAATTGTATATTTGATTTTACTGTCTCACTATTTATTATTTATTTTAAATTTTAAAATTAAAATTGTTTTATACTTTTTCTAACCTATTGTACGAACATTATATATTTATATATTCTAGAAAAATAAATAAATTATTATTATTAAAAAACCGAGCATTTACCATCGATATTTCATCAATTATGATTAATTTTGAATCGATAAATCTGAAAAAACCTATGTCATTGCTAAGTGGCCTCAATTCTCTATTCAACTGATTAACAGGTAAAGAAAATATTGAGTGAAGTGTCAGTCTACCTACTCCGAATGCTGCCTTACCTGTAGGAGCGCAATGAAGAACTTTCAAGGAACTTAAATTCAATCCAGGTGTATAATTTAAATGATGGTTAAGTGCTTGATATATTACAGATAGCAAACGACCCCGAAAAGACTTTCTAGAACATTTTTAAGGTCTCTTTGCTAAAAAACACATATTTGATTTGATTTTCCTCAATTAGAATACGATGTGTTATGCAAGTCTGCTCAATATCGTTTTCAATGATATCTTGCTGTTTATTCCGCCATGGATAGTAAAGCATTACCATTTCACCAAATCTGAGTTAAACCTTCAATATCAAATTATACAAGGTTTTGTACGATTTTTAACAAAACCGCGTTCTTTAAGAGGCATGACAACCCCGCTTTCTGGTGAATTATCGTCTTCCCCCTCTTCTTCTCCATAATCACTGTCTTGTGTTCTTCTACTTGATTTATAATATTTATACTTAGATGCAAAATCAGCTAAACAAAAAATTTGTAACTAATCGGATCGCTGGACATAACGGCCTAAAATACCGGCTACGAACATTTCAATCGAATCTGAAGGAAAGTTCTAAAGTTCCGCTCTAGGTTTTACCATTCGAACACGTTCCTCAGGTCGAGAGGTATTTAT